GGAAAAATAGCTTTAATTATCTTCCCAAACCAAAAAAGCGATATAAACAAATTTTGATATATATATATATATATATATATATATATATATATATATATATATATATATATATATATATATATTACATTACATGTCAAGGGTTTGACCATCACTGATACGGATTCTTTTTTCAAATTTGGTACAATTATAGATCTTTGTGTCAGAAATTGAATGGTACCTATTTTATATAGGGTGAAAAAACAACTGAGATATTGATATTTAAACTTTGTGACTATTTTCAAAAATTCACTTTTTGGTAAAGGTCAAAGTGTCATATCTTAGGAACAGGTGCAGCAAAAAAATTAGAACACTACAGACGAAAAGAGTGTATCATATATATTTTATGTTTACTTTCAAGCCTAATTCAATAGATTTCGTGAAGTAATGTTAAAACTTTTTCTTTCTATCATCGAAAAAGAAAACGGAACTCAAAGTAGGTCTTTAATTCTTGTTTAATCTTATCAAATAAATGCATAAAATGAAACAAAATTAACATGAATGATATCAACGCTTCTGGTGGAGGGGTACTCTACATTGGATTATCAGAACACCTGTAATGCAGGAAGATAATTTTAACATGAAATATTCCAAATGTGAAGGGTGAGGTCCACATACGAAATGCGTTGTTGCGAACCGTATCGATTCGGCTTCATTTTAGCTACTTAAGATTTTGGGAAGTTTGGTAAAACCGACCATATGAAGAATTGAACATTGATTGTTCTGAGAATAGAAAAATAACGCTTGAAAACCCGATACCATCGACCTAATTCACTTTTGGTTTGACTGGAACTATCATGAAATAACAACTTTCAAATCCAGTCAAGCAAACACTGACATTTTGTATCTTACTTGAGAACGACACACGAAGGCATGTAAATAATAATAATAAAAAAAAAATCGAAAACGAGCTCAGAAAATGGCAAATGTATTTTCGGCGTGGGCAAAAGATGTCACCGAAGAATCGATTTTCCATTCTGTATTTAATCTCTAGTTTTAGATACACAATACTGAAACTTTTGTAGACACCTGATACTTTTGAAATGAAGTACCATTTCAGAATGGAAGAGTAATAGTGTCTTTATACTTTCTTTCCAGTGACAACTTGGAGATAATTAGAAAGAAACCCTCTAAAATTATCAAAGTCTGATGCATTTAAGTTATTCGATGTTAATAGGATTTTCTAATAGGATTGCTTTTCGCCATTTTCACATATGTAATGGTTTACAAAGTATATATACTGTACGTAAATAGCGTTGTTATTTACTGTCAAATGATCACTTGTCTATATCAATCACTCGAAACAAAAATAACATTAAATGAAAAAAAAAAATTAAAGACATTTTTAAACAAAGCATTTCTAATATTTAATCTTTCTTTTTACTTTTTCTCTTTCTTTCTATCTCTTTTTCTTTTTACTTTTTCTTTTTCTTTCTTTTTTCTTTCCTTGTTTCTTTCTTTCTTTCTACTTTTTCTTACTCTTTCTCTCTTTCTTTCTTTTTACCTTTTGTTTGCTTCATTCTTTATTCTATATTACAAGAAGATCATCTAATCGCCCATCGCGACAGATGAAATTTACATGGTTTTTGTCACGGTGAAAATTGATATTTTCAAATCTTTTCACCCCAAGCAAGGTAATAAGACACAAGGAGGTTACTGAGTGTGAGAGAATGTGAGAAAAGGCTAAACATAATTAAGGAGAGAAAACAATAAAAGAACAGGAATTAAGAAGACAGAAGATAACGTTTGACACTGCATTTGAAGTTGACTGGATAGCAAGAGACCGGAAGAGATTTCAACAAGCGAGAAATGCGTGAAAAGAAATGGTTACATCTAGCAGCCATTTCAACTGTAAAATGATGAAACCTTGCCGCCAATCTAGTACTGCGAATAAATTCATAAAATGTAGGTAACAAAGAGAAAAGCTCATCAGAAAAATTAACATGAAAATATTTATAGATTAAAAAAAAAAATAATGAAGATATTGCAATGTGAATGGAAAATCGTGTTAGACAAGATGTTTATTACTTGAAAAACCTTCACAGAAAATTAACATTGGCTCGTTAAGTTATATATGAAAATCCACAGAACATGCATTGGACTAGCGAAAGAAGCATTCCAAAAGCTATGCAAGGTGCTGTGAAACAGAAAAAAATCTTTAAAAACAAAGAAAAGAGTGCTGGGTTAATATGTGATATCCATCTTCCTATATGGCAGTAAATGCTTCACAAGCTGCCCAAAGATGGAGAGAAAACTAGAAGCAGCAGAAATGTAGTTCTACAGAAGGGACCTGAAAATTCCATTGACGTAGCTAGTAAGCAATATTAAAGAAAATGGAAACTTCTACTCAGAATATTTCTGCTCTGAATCAGGAAAGCATAGCTGAAGTTCCTTGGACGGATAATGAGGAAGGAGGGCTGAGAAAACAACGTATGACCACCCTAACAAGCTTGAGTAAATGGATGGTAGAACAGGGTTTAAGGGAGGTAACAAAAAGGCAAAATTAATAAATTTGAACTACAAAGGACAGGCATATTAAGGGCTTCGGAGGCTGCTACATAAACTTACTTGCAAGGCATCTCTGGAAGGGTTTTCGCAAACTAACTGTTATGTGTTTGAGGGGCATTGTTAACGACCAGTTATTGGAAGCCCATTAGATCAATGCGGACCTTCCGCAGAGTTCTCGCTTGTCTCCTCTCCGCTATATTAAGAATCTGCCTAACTAAATATTTCGTTCTTAGTGAATATCTATGTAGACAATACAATGGGGCACCTCTAAAAATGTAGATAACCAATAACTGATCCCTCCTCTTCTTTGATATCCTAGCTTTTTCAGAGTCTTTCTCATTGCATATGGCGACATCTATAACGCCCTGACAACGGTTTCTGATGACTTCCCTCTTCAGTGCCCTTTTCGTTCACTCAGACACGATGCTTGGTCTTCCTGAATATTGTTCCATACGACAATGGCTTTTTCATTAAATTTTTTGACAATATTATTAACCGTGTGATGATTAACCTGGAAAGACCTAGCAATATTTCTATTTGATTTGCCACACTGATGCCATCCTATTATTTGCCCTCTTTGAGATTTACCAATTTCCTTACTTCCGCGAACTTTCATTGCAAAATATAAGTCAACTATCGTTCATAGATGAGAGTACTAACACAGTATTGTCTGAAAAAAAAGAAGAGATGTTATTGCACAAGCCAAAATTACTGTAATCAAGGGTGGCTAAAAACTTATCCAAGCCCACTGTATACTAATAGAAGATAGTGTAGAAATGGTGATATTTGTTCAAACTCCAGTTTCAACAGCGACACTTTTATTTCTATATGACACTGACGTTCTACTTAAAAATTATCAAATTACCATAGTCAGAGTGTACAGTCACGTGTACAATGGTAAATATATCGTCATTTTTTACGGTAGGGAGAAGCTAAAGATGATATAAGAAAAACATAAAGAGGACTGATACTGTGAGTCTGTGAGCAAAGCGAGACAATAGTGTTCAATCAATAACAACAATAACAAAGTTATGTGTCTCGACTATTGAGACTAGAAGAAGGACACTTATAATTTACACGAGATTTCTTCAATTTCCCTATTCAAACTGATTGCTTGGTGGAGTCGCTTTATTGTTAGTAAGTGCTTCATACTCTTCCGGAAGATGTATCCAATTGGATTTTGGTCGAAGGCCAAACGAAAATCTCCAGAATTATCAACGGCTGTTGATTGGCCAAAATTAGCCATACGCGCCAATGGCAATTAAGCGTTTCGTTTAGTCGACCGTGGAAAGCGGGAAGAAGTGATAATTTTCCTGCCTCTTTGTCAGATGTTAAAGAGTGTCCATTATAGATTATAAGCAATTCTTGCGATGTCACATTTTCCCTAACCTTCCCCTATTCCATCCCAAACACTTCTCTTTTCGCTGTCAAATCTTCTCATACATTCAGACACTATGATCTCGAAAGAGATATAATTTGACATGTAAATAGAAATCTATGAGAATCACTTCTCTTACTCTTTCTCGAACCGTTTCGTTCTTTAAAATTTTAATTGTTTTGTGCTTGCTTTGGTCTTTCGTTTAGGAAATATTACAAGACTTCTTGGAATTCAGGAATTCTTAGAATTTAGAACTTCGTTTTCGATATTGTTTTTCTTTACTTTATTTATCAGTTTTATTTTATCCATTCACGTATTCTACAAAGAATAAAATACATTGAATGTGTAATGAACTCACATACATGATATTGTAGATGAGCCCTTAGATCAGTGATTCTGAACAGCCGCACTGTGTGTGTGTGTGTGGAAGTAGTAATTTTTCACACTAAATGCACAAGTGGTTGAATGGAAACATTTTCGTAACATTTAAAAGTATATAACCTTTAAAAATGTTGATACGTGTGCCGCGATATTTTCATTTGCTCCTTGGTGTGCTGTTGCTTAAAAAGGTTGAGAAACATTGTCTTAGACCGATATAATAACACCCGTAATCAGAACAACGTGGCATGCGAACTAAGAGAGAACAGGAGAGAGAGAGAGAGAGAGAGAGAGAGAGAGAGAGAGAGAGAGAGAGGAGAGAGGGGGAGGGATATGGAGGGAGAGAGGAAGAGATATTGATAGAGATCTACTAGGAGTAATATAAATTTAAACTTCAGGAAATGTTGGTAGCTTCAACTCGTAAAACGTTAACTTCTTCAAAGCCGCAACATCAGATAAGGATATTTATTACATGTTCCCTGATATTCCAACATCCTTTTCTAAAATAGGGGTTTTGTCTCTCATTTCAGCTTGAGGACGCCTACTCTAAGGGGCGCAACGCGTAGTTAAATATCTTTTTCCCTTTGTCTATGTGTCTTCAGTTTTGTTCAGGTATTATTCTACACCCGATTATCACCAATCACTTAATCTTTTCAAGTCTATACAATCTAATTGTATCTTGGAGGCTTACGTCACATGACGGTGAAGCACCTGTTCCCGTACGATTACCGAAGGTAAGCAAGATAGAGCCTGTTCAGTACCTAAATGAGTGACCGATTGGGAAAACCAGGTGGTGGAAGCTTGGATGTGTGGGCGGTGTAATAGATAATGGCTCGGAATGGCTCGGAGAGCCGAGTTCCAATTTCAGTTGGGTTCGTTATACGCAAATACACTTGGGAAAAGTATGAATCCACCTATACTCCCTCCAGCTAGGGGTTAATTAGTAAAATTAAAAAGGAAAAATTAGTATGACTAAGCCATTATTATCTCCATCCGTAAAAATTCTTGCAATCTAAAAAATATTTTGCAGAATTTTGATAAGCTGTAGAAAACGAACTTTTCTCTTAAACTTCCAAATGATTTTTTTAATAAATATTTTCTTTTTATTACAATTAATTATTTTGTCTAATTTATGCCGTAATAACTTATCTGACGCCCAATGTTCATAATCACAGATTTTTTTTCGTCGTTACTAAGACACATTGCTTTTGAAATAATATATAAATTTTGATCAATAGACTGTGGCTTTTATTATATCGATTTCAGAAAAATTCCCGTTCTTTATCTGAGATAAATAGATTTAGTGTTACTAAATTTGTTGTTAATTTATTCAAAATGAAGATATGAGTGACGTTCTAAAAAACGTTCCAGTAATGACAGATTAAAAAAAAGAAACAACTGGAAAACTCTGCAATTTCAGTTAGTACACAATGAGTTAAGAACCACATCTTATTTTTATTTTGTTAATCATGGATTAAACAGACCAACAACCGATGACTCTTGAGATTTGCGACTCTTCAACAAGAAACATTGATCTTAATGTACTCATCTTGAAGACGTGTGCGATAAAAGCACAACACCCTATTCTTTGTATTTTTATATTTTCGTAGTGTTTGAATCCAGTTTGGTGGTTAATTATTTGCCCATAGTTGGGACCCTAACAGGTGCTACCGCCCTGGGCTAGGGCGGACCTGGGAAGAACAGAAATTAAATACTGTCACACACACTCCTCAAAACCTCCCGATCAGATGGCTTGCCGTCGGATATAGTTTATTGTCGTACCCAAGACGTTCCAACCAGGGAATTAGAACAACTGTAAAAAATTTTCAAAAATTTTAATACCGATCTTGAAGAAATTGAAGCAGGAAGGAAAAAGTGAAGGAGAACAGAATAATTGAAGAAAGAAAAGAATGAATCAAATGAATGAAGTGAAAGTAAAAAAATATCAAAATAATGAAGAAAGGAAAATCAAAATTAGTGAAGGAAAAACACAAAGGTTGGTTTAGTTTGTTTTACGATGGATAACGTTTTTCCCGGTAATTTAATGCTACATTCTGTTATTTTGCTAAACAATAGGTAGGTAGATATGGGTTTGGTTTTACAGCAGAATAAAAACGGAAATCATAGCTTTGGTTTGCATGAGAATCAGAAAGGTAGATATAGGTTTGTTTTTCACTAGTGGAAAAAGTAAACGTGTTTCGTTTGGACGAGAGTACAAAATTATACATAGGTCCGGTTTGAACGAGAATGAAAGCGGTAACCATTGGTTTTGTTTGCACGATTCAAAAAAGTACATATGGGTTTGATTTGTACTTGAGTCATATAGTTCGATATAGGTTTGGTTTGCATGTGTTGTCAAAAAGGTACATGTTGGTTTGCTTTGTACAGTAGTCAGATCGGTCGACATAGGTTTGGTTTACATGTGAGTCAAAAAGCTACATATCGGTTTGCTTTGTACTCGAGTCAGATAGGTCGACATCGGTTTGGTTTTAAGTAGACATATTCCAAGTTTACACGAGAGTCAAAGAGGTGGAAATAATGTATAGTAAGCGGGTGGCCCCTTTTTTTAGAGGTTTACCCCTATGTATGGTGATGGACTTAGCGAATTTTTGACCTCAACCGACAGGGCGAAAAAAAATAAAGAGAAAAGAAACGAAAAAAAAAAAAAAAAAAGCGGAGCATGTAATATTTTTTTGGCAAACCTGTTTCGTGGTTGTTAGAATTGATTTTGAGCTCAAAGCCTACGTTGATTAACAGAAAAGAAAACCAAGTCAGTTTGAAACATAACTAGCAATAGAGACGAGAAGTTCCTAAACCCATTTCCCTTGGTTGGAAGGCTGGCGTCAAAAAAGCAATCTCAGCCTATGTATTGTTTTGTGGGTGTGGGGAATATGTTCACAACAGTTGATAAAGGAAGACGGAACAGATGTAATCAAAATCAAAGAAGCACAAGTAATTTTGTAGCCATAAATGAATATCAACGCAACACTAATGGAAGCAACAAAAAGACATAAGAAAAAACTAATGAGACTTGCAATAATAAAAAAAAAGAAAAGGCAACCACTTCGTAACCTTCAGGTCAATGTGACAACGACAATGATGGCCACCCGAAGGTGAGTGCGAACCAAGTGTCGGAAAGTTTCTAATTATCTTTAGGTGACATTCATCGTTTCTTTTGAAATTTAAAAGCGAAAGCGGACATTATGGTGCCAAGAGACATGCGCGATTGCGCATGCGCATCCGATGTTGAGGTTTTATAGAAAATAGGCTTTTCTACGTTACCGTTTAATTTCGTTATTTTCTGTACTTTTTTCTTGCAATTTTCATAAGTAGGTGGGCGATTGCTTTACTGAGTTATGTTTAGTACAGAAGAAACAATAATTATGAATATAATCAGGGGAAAGAGAGCTGAAAGCGGGGGAACATGGAGGGGCATCTATTCTGTGACAAAAGATTTATTGATTTACTAAAATGAGAAAAATGCACATATAAAAATATACTATATATATATATATATATATATATATATATATATATATATATATGGTGCATCCACTCGTATCCAAGGATGCACGTCTACTAGAGTGGCAAGCTAATCCCCGTTGCAGACGCCTGCTCAGGTACATTTTGTGTTTGTTCAACACCCAGAGAGCCCAGCTGTGGTTTATATTGCAATTATGCTGAGCGGAACTTAGTTTCAGTTTCTGGGAGATTGCGCGTTATCTCGCGTCGTCAACAGTCTAAACAAGGTTAGCATGCTCGAACCCTCAGTCACGATGACTTGTGACTTTGTGACTGCACAACCAGTGACACTCTTAACAGTTCCGTCTACTTAATTTCACTGACAAGATTTTTCAACTACTTTCCGAAGGTGCCACATGCTGACTTCACCTTCTCCAGACTAATAACAGACCTCCTGACAAATCGATCATGGTGAGATTCGAACTCGTGTTTTAATCAATCGGCCATGTGCCCATTTGTGTATATATATATATAAAAATGTATTGCCAATAATTTTACTATAAAAATGTAATTTTTATATTTTTCATAGTGTTTTATTTTTGTTTGGAGGTTCACTATTTACCCATAGCCGACACCCTATGTGGTGCTACCTCCCCGGGTCAGGGTAGACCTGGGAACAACAGCAATTAAGAGGTTGTTCCAATCCAACCTCCAATATCCCGACCAGATGTTTTGCTGCTGGATATAGTTTATCGTCATACCCAGGACTGCATACATATATAAATATATAGGTACATCAGTATGCCAGTAAGCTAACGATGACATGAGCATTTATTTTATATAATTATTATGTATTTTCAACATTATTTCTTTCTTTGTCAATGTACTTATTTCATTGCTGAATGTTAACTTAATCATATGTTACCATCAATCGGTTATATCTATCACGAAAGCTAGCGAAGTCTTTAGCATGATCTATCTATCTATCTATCTATCTATCTATCTATCTAAACGCGCTAAATTTGATTTTCTAAATAGTATCAATAAAGGAACACCACTTTAATGTCCTAACTTTATTTACTTTCGTTTTCAAAGGATGTGAAGAACTCTCTCATGTAAGGAAGAAATCTCAAATCTAATCGAAAATAATTCTTCAATAAAATACATTTTTTCTCCATATTCTTCATATAGTGTTTCCTTCACATTCCTTCTTACTTGATATGTTAGTTCTAGTAAAAAGAAAATTATTTAATGAAAATGTTCAAGAAGTCCCATATTTTCCTAGAGTGTGAAAGCATCTATGTACGCATATTTCAATAGCCGATCGGCAATTGCGACTTTATTATCTTTTTCTATGAATGGCATTTGAATATTCTAACCACACTAAAATACTACTTTCAGATTTTTTACTTTATACCAATTCTTTCTTTGGATGTTGTTTCTATTTTATCTTCCATTTTAAACAGATTTTAAGATTTTTATTCGCAGATAGCGATACTAACACATTTTTTAAATAAATGATTTGTTCATTTTCTCTTATCAATAAGTTTGATCTGAAGACAAGATCTATGTGGCGATATGTTCAAAAATATTTATATATGTATTTTTGATGCATGCTATATTTTCTATAAACTCCTTATCTTATAAATACAACTGACCTTTCTATTCACTGTTCCACATATAATTCTTAACTTGTGCCCATCCAGTACATAGCACTTAAGGAACACTGATCGCAATATTTCCAGTTATTTCTTTCTCTTTTGGAACAATTAAACAGCAATAAATACGGCACAAGGTTAAAACTCAAGAATTCATGTTTAGCTACAAACAGTTATTTCTTATCGAAGCAGAATATAATAATAATAATAATAATAATAATAATAATAATTTATGTGACTTTACAATACACACAGACAGAACAATGAAAGCTGTTCGCCCAGGTCAAAGACCACAAAAAACAAAATATGCTTTCTTATTGACATGGCAGTTCATGCAGACCGTAATGTATCCTTGAAGAATATCTACAAGGATATTGACGTGTGAATTAAAAAAAAAATGTGTCCTAAGAAGACGTCAGTAATTCCAATTGTAGTTGCGGGCCTCGATTTGATTGGAAAAGATTCCGACAGACACATTAAAGGGATCCTTGGTAGCCCATACAAAACATTGTTCTCACAAATATAGCTCACAACTTACGAAGGGCTTTTCTATGTAAAATGTGGGATCTAAGTATTTTTTTTTTTTAATGTTCGGTAGAAAATGTCATGAAGCCACTTCTGACCTTCGGTTTCCAGTATACAACAGAACTCAAAGGAAAATGATAATGATGATGATGA